TCTAAAATCTTTGACTTCACTGCTCAAGCTGTGGCATTCAGCTCCAAGCCCACTGGTTCCTACTGAAGACGTAAATCTTTAAAAACAGCTCCGAAATATATAGTTACATTATTTTAATAAGCTTAGTAATTTCCTAAAAAGAGCTGCGGTCTCATTTATAAAACAATGCGTAGGATTCATACTAAAAATGTACATATGAACAAAAGCCAAAAATTGCGTGTGCCAAAAAATATCTGACAATTTCTACAATCAGGCTTCAGCCTCACTATCTGCGTCCCCATCTTCCCGTCTCCAAAATGTTTGTAAGCATCAAGTCTGTTTTTATACATCACAACTTCTGCTTGGGAAGTGGCGTACGCCTCTTACAGGCCTAGTTTTGTGCGTACGCAATGTTTATAAATGAGACCCCTGGTCACTGTGGTTTTATACCAAACATGGGGACTCCTTCAGGCAGTGTATTAATACAAATTTGGCAATATCAAAGCAGGAGTACTTTATCTGTCTCAGCACTGAGATGTTGAATGCAAACTTAGGACTGTGAAAAACAACTTAAAATCAACATTTTGGGCCATTAGCATGGTTATATATATTCTATCTTGTTTTCATGGAATGTAAACAAGCTTCAGCTGGGCTTCACATAGTTTCTGTTGCAGAAATGATAAAACAGAAGAACTATACATGGAAAATATGTGGTGATGGTCTCTTGTTAGCAAAAACTGTCAGAGTCCTGTCGTCCTGTCTTTAATTAAATTTTAATCTAGGGAAAGTTTCTCAAAGTTATGGAGAAAGGAAGAAGTAAGAGACCATCTGTCTGACTGAGAAACTGTCTGACTGCTCCTCCGGTTGGACTGCAGCCTGTCTGATTGGCTGGATCTCAGCTCCTCTAGCACAGTAGTTCCCAAATGGAGGTCCCAGGACCTCCAGGGTTAAAAAGAGAAGCAGCTGGGTCTGATCTGACCTTCCCCACGATAGCTGCTGCCTGAATAAGAACACACTTCATTATTTCCTCTAAGAGCCCTTCAGATATTCATCCCACCAGCTGTGCTCATGTCAATTAGTTCATCCTTCCTTCACAGTAGTCAGTGTCAAGGCAACGGTCCCAGAGGGAGGCCATGACATCAGCAAGCTACAGTATGTAACATGTAATCACAGTGTTACAGGTCTCAATCTTTAATCACATTTCATTCTGGCTGCAAGACAATAAAACTGACCAGACATGAAAGACATGATGGGATTTTTCCAGCAGCTCCTGCAGAGTCTGAGAAGTGAGTGTGTTTTAGTGATCTAAGTAAGAGATCTTTGGGGGATTTCTTATAGTCTTACAGGAAGAATGGCCCCTGCTCTGATGTACAGAATGATAACATCAATAATAAAGCAATCTGCTGGATCATTGAGCCGACTGATTGGTTCATCAATCACAGGATGCGACCAGTCACACCTGTTTCTCTCCAGTATGCACTTATCACACAAAGACTAGAGGGAGGTGAAAACTGCTGAGCACAAAAACCATCCGGAAGTGTCAATATGTGCAATCAGACATATGTTAAAGCAGTTCTCATTGACATTTTGTCTTTGTCTAATATTGGTTCCTGCGTAGTGTTCAAATCACCACGCTCTCAGTCACGTAACAGAACAAGCCAGGTGGAAGCAACAAACTCTGTTTCAAAGTGATATTCCAGCAAAGTGAAAGTGCAGGCTGTTTTTTGAACAAACTGCAGAATCACGTGACAAGCAACATTCTTACTACAAGAGGAACCTACAGTTATGAGGTATTGGTTAGGCAAGCCAGGTCTATGTGCTTAATGCTGTGAGTGAGTGTTTGCAAGGAAGAGAATACTAAGCTACTGCCATTTAACAGTATATCCATATCTATGAAAGTGATGAAAGTGATATACATAAAAATAACCTGATATAGATCACAAATGTCCAACATCTGAAGGACTGACGTTTCTGGCCTGATGTATGATGAAGCAAAAAGCTGCCAAATGTCAGTATGTTTGGAGAAAGTTCACTTTTTTTTATTGTCCCTAACAACACAAGAGACATGCATTTATGTTAGCATGTAACTGGAGCACAGCTCAAATGTGAGTTCTTGCAGACCTAGCTTAATTTTACATTTTCATGTAATAAAATTGTTCTTTTGTTTATCTGCAGTTAAATGTGATAATTATTGTTTTGTTATTTTCAATGAGTCATGCTACCTTTACTTTATTATTATTAGGGCTGCCCCCTGAAAGCCAAAGATTGCAATCATCAGTCAGTCCCCAGATTTTGCTGCTGAGTGAGTGCTCCTTGCTTTTACACTGCTCTTTGGTATAGGCCACTGCGGACTCAGTTATCTTCTGCTCCTGCTTACAAGTGGTGAATTAAAAGCTCACAGCAACCTAATATGATACAGTCTCTGGCTTTTGTTTGACATCTAGTGACTGCAAAAAAATGTAACACCCTTTCGATCCATCGTTAGGATTGTTAGCTTGTTTACTACATTACACGAATGTCACCATCACACTTAACATCCCGCTGAACCCTGTTCAAACTCTTAAAGGAAAAAAATTAGCAAATAGTCAAATATTCATGTCACGCCCAAATCTGATTCGACATAATTGAGTCGGATATAGCCCTTGTGATTATTGTGAGGGGTGGAAACGACAGGAGAGTAACAAGGAAATGAGATGCATGTGAACCAGGGATGTTGAAGTCTATGGTTGGTAACTTAAAGGGCCAGTGTGTAGAATTTATGGTGATATATTGGCAGAAATTGAATATAATAGATAATATTCATAACTACGTGTTTAACCTGAAGCTAAGAATCATGTTTTCATTACCTTAACACGAGACATTATATCTACATATGGAGCAGGTCCTCTTCAACAGAGTCCACCATGTTGTTCTACAGTGGCCCAGAACGGACAAGTTTCAGTTGCTTGCAATCTGCAACCTCACTGCCAGATGCCACTAACCCTTTATCTAAATGTGCCAATTAATTCAGAATATGTTAAATATGGTTTGATCTGCCCACGTTGTAACTGTTTCACATCTCAAATAAGTCCAAAAACAGATGTTGCAGAAGAGGGATCTCAAGTTTTTGAGCCAACAGAGTTCCTATTGTACATCCATTCAACACTTGTGAAGTCTCTTATGTCACCAGCCTTCAGCACTGCAAGTTATTCAGAACCAATCAGTGACCAGGTTCATTAGCCTCTGGCGATAATGACAAGCTGACAAGTAATTGATCCTCTTTGAATCCTAAGTGCCAATAAAATCAGTGTATGCTGGTCAATCCATGTGTTTGTGCATTTATCCCTGAAGAGAGGAAAGGATGACGCTGGTGTCAGTATAAATAGCTTATGCTGTGCGCGTGCACGCACACACACACACACACACGCACACACACACACACGGTATTTCAAAGTCCCTGCATGCCACATAGTTGGATAATCCCGTGGCTGTCTCAGCCTGTTCAACCTGTTCTACAGAGGAACTACAGACACACTGAAGCCACACAACAACAGATGCTACAACATGCAGATCTGATCTGTCCGCTTTAGATCTCAGACCTGTGGATTTTTTTTAAAAATTACAGGTTGGTTTCGCAGACAAGAATTGGATATCTGCATAAAATATTGTTTAGTCTGGGACTTAGTGTGACCCCATCCAGAAAATGAGCTCTGAAGCTGCTACTGCTTTTACTGTTTTATTCATTCGTGTGCATAAATGAGCAGGAAAATAACTGTTTCTGTCTTCAACACTCAGAAAACTGATTAACTTTTCTCATAACCAATTAATGGTTTTAGTCATTTATGAATCAAAAATGCTCAACTTACTGTTTGATATGCTTTGGTTTTATTGTTTTAGCTTCTTCTCCTCACACAACAGTGAGGAAAAATAGAATGTGGCTAATATGTTACCTGTTGTTTTTCCAAAAATGCCAAATTTGTTTTCAAGTTATTTGTGGAAATAAATTGGTGCAGATGAGGAAGACATGTTTTGCAAATCAGGACAGAACAAATTAGAAATCTAGAAAACCCTATATCTAAAACAAATTGGAGCTAAATGCCCAACATCAAATGCACTGTATTTTGTGTAATTTGCAATTTACAGACGACACAATGATTTTAGAACAGCTCCTATTTCTTATGACATATATCCTCACCTTCACGGTTGCTGAAGGTGAGGGGAAACAGAGAACAGCAGCCAGGATCATAACTTAAACAGGTTCTGAAAGGCTCCAGGTAAGGAAAGTTCCAGTATACCTTGACATGGTTCAGAGGGGTCAAGTATTTGTTGTATTTCATTCATTCTGGTTCATACTGCAGTTACAGGCAGAATTTGCACACTGAAGTCTCCCAGATAGCTTGTCAATTGGGCAGGGTTTCTATAGACAGATATTTTTTGGGAAGAGGGCTAGAATTGATCCAGACTTTGTTTTATTATGCTTTTTTTCAGCTTTCCTAGCATGACAAAAAGCATCAATGTCTTTCTACCCCTAATCCCTTGAGTTTTGGAAACATTTCCTGTGCTCATTTGGGATTATGTATTACCCTCCAAGCACAGTGTTAGATACGTCAACAGGAGGAAACACTCCAGAGCATGAGGTTTCCCTCCAAACATGCTTGATGTGAACGCACCCTTAAACAAACTGGATCTGTTCAGGCCTGAACAGAGTTCACGCTCGGGAGAAGGTCTTGCTTCAGAGTGTCATTATATAAAAGAGCACATCTGTGTTAAGAGCAATAGAACTATGAATGAGAATCATTCTGAGGTGGCAATTTTTACAGATAAGGTCAGCGAGGCTATTGCAGAGGCTTGCCTGCTGGAGAATTTTGGATAATGTGTCTCCACTAGTCAATTATGAGTTTTCTTCAAAACACAAAACCTATCTGTTTGATAGCGTGTGAGGATTTACACCAAATTCCTCTGAAATAACAAAGGAAAGTCACTCCTGTGGGGAAAACGCGGTATTAAATGTCATCTTAGTGATCATCATCATCTTTTCTTACCTTGCCAGTCTTGTGGTCGAACCAAACCAAGGCATGATTTCTGGACAGCACCTTGCAGTCAAAGGTGGCATTGTTCTGGGCCGGCCGACACCGAGCCACCGACCTGCCGATCTTGACTGGCTCATCCAGGTACACATGCCGCTCCTGGAATGGGTGTGAGTTGGGTCGGCAGGCGAACACAGCCAGCGCTGAAGGCATTGATTTTGGCTTAAGAGTGTTACTCCAACCAGACACGAGGGGCAGGTTTTCTTGATCCAGAGTGGCAGTTCTGTTGGAATCCCCAATGAATAATCTACAATATCTGTGGCCTATATGAAGGCAGAACTGTTAGTCCTTTGAGTTCCTAGGCACTAACTAATAGACATTGTCCACTGTGCACAGCCCAGGCTGCACCGCTTTCCCACTTCGAATCAACAAGACTCTCCTGTGTTTGGAACAAACGAAAATAAAAAACAAACCAACAGGTAGAAAAAAGACAAGACATTCCCCTCACTGACTGTCCACCAAAGCTACATAACGATTCTTATGTGACAGCAGGCACTATGTACAGACCAGGGTGCCATGTGTCAAGACATACATGACTGAGTATAGCACTGACAGCCTGGAAAACAGCCTCCCACGTCCATCAAACTATTCCAGCACTGAAGCAGGCGAGGGAAGCCAGTCAGGCACCACAGACTGGATGGTTAGTCCTCCCAAGATAGCAACAGCTCACACCAGTACTTGTGACCACTGATTGAATGAGTGACCAATCCAGGAAACAACCTATCGAATGTATACAGGGTCAATTAATAATATTATTGCGCGCTTTCTAGCAGTGTTAAGTCTTGTCTTGCAGCGAGCTAACAAGGGGCACACACCCCAATGTGCAACACGCCAGTCGATTCACGCACGTTTGGCGTTAAGTACATTTGTCATCTGAAAAATATTCACCATTTACAGCCATAATCTAAGTGACACTGTTGCCCTGATACAGGGAAGCTTAGCTAGCTACCTAACGTTACCACTCCCTCCACAGAACACCTATAAAGGTCGCTAACGACACCTAGCAAGACTGAACGCCAAAACACCCCTGAGTTATTAAACATTAACGGTCAATTAGGCCAACTAATGCAGTTCAGTCTCCGCTCTTGGTCTGAATTAGTTAGTGCAGAGGCTTCAAAACACTCAGCCGGGATGAACCGGGGATTAGCAGGTCTTCTTGTGCAACTAAAATGCTAATTGGCTAGCTTGCTAGTGGACAGGCAGAGCGCTAACTCTCGGCCAACGTTTTCTGGCGTTGTACCAGCAAAGCTAGGCTAGGCTAGGCTAGGCTAATGAGTGCTGACAAACTTATCAACCAGGTCCTGAAATGTTTTCTCCCCACCCCACTCAACCAGTTCGCTTACCGGGTGGAGGCGAAGTGCCATCCCTGTCTCCTGGAGCAAATAAAAGCAGCAAGCTAGCCCGCCTTTTGGCTACAACGGAGCCCTGCAAGCGAACGTTAGCATGGAGGTGGTGAGCTACCGAGCAGCTAGCCGGGCTAACTGACAGTCAGACGCGGAAAAATCAGGGGAGTTTCTTGACTGCGGGTCCTCACGCATCACACCAGCCCGATTATCTTCCAGGAAAAAACCTCCGTAAAGCCACAAGTTGCGCTGCCGTCGTCTGTCTCAGTCCAGCCGGCGTTTGCCGAGGCGGTTATGAGTTAAAGCCGTCGCCTTCCTACAGTTTTCTGGAAGGAATCTAGAAGAAGTTGTCCTCCTCCGCAAGTCCAAGCCGCCATACTGTAACTAGAGAGCAGACAGGCGGGGTGCGTTCACGGCCCGAGTCACTTCAACTCCACTCAACGCTGAGCTCATTAAATGAGTTGACTCTGTAAACCTAGTCTTAATTTCGGATTAAAATATATTCAGTTAATTTGGTTTTTAAAGGACACTATGGAAGCTAATTTCTGCCAGGAAAAAAGGCATCCCCATGACGAACAATTAAATCAGTCACACATTGTCAATCACATCAAAACAACGTATTTGATTATAGATTATAATTTACAGTTTTTAATTTTCTCAATGTACATATCGTCTGTCATTGTCAATGTAAACCCGATACACTGTATACTGATATATACATTTACATATTATAAATAATAAATAGTAAATAGTAAATAATAATCCAGTAAACGTATATTCATTCAGTATTTATGTCTTTGCACTATTTATGTATTTTAATAGCTGACTTGTGCATAGACATTATATTTTTATTGTTGATCATTGGTGACTTACATATATATTTATATAATACGCATATAAACACCTATTTTTTCCACATACCATTCTACATAATAGTCCAGTCTATAATTTGCCTTTATTTGTTTAGCTTTGTTGTCCTTATTCAGAGCTGTTAGGTCAATTTCTGTGTACATAGGCTACAGAGAGCAATGCAAAGAAAACAAATCCTTGCATGTGTACACATACTTGGCCAGTGAAGCTGATTCTGATTGTTCACATCATGAGTCATATTTCAGACTCACAATATCAAGATTTTCAGACATTCACTCAAAATGATTACTCATTACTTATTACTTACTTGGACTCTCCTTAGAACTACAAAAATGTAAGGTTTGTTTAAACATATTTGAACTATTTAGATGTCAAAGCAATACTATGATATAACAGGAATAGTATTGTTTTTTTGTTGTTGTTTTTTCAAATTACACAAGAGTATACAGTCAGGAATACATTTATTTTCTCACAGCCTAAACCTGACTCAAGTGATTTCAGTACTAGGTTTTAATAAAATGAGGCTTTTCATGCTGTTGTTTTTTTTGTTTGTTTGTTTTTTTATGGTAAATAAAATAAAATAAAACAGAATAAAATAAAGTAATTAAACGTGTATTCTAGAGGTTTTCTCACTGGGACTCCATGATGCTGTGATTTCAGTTATAGTTGTATTCCACAAGAACTCACAAAACTCAGGGAGTGTACCTTTAAACTGGTTTTATATCTTAAATACCTGTTGTATGTGTTACAGTACTTTTTCATACTTGTAAGTATAAGCTCATACTACTGTAACTTTCCAGCATCATGTACAGTAAAATAATAATAAGAAGAACACCAAATGACAATATTTTACAGTTTACTCTTCGGGTTCTATCCAGGTGACTTGATTTACAGCGTGGGACAGCAGGGTGGGGTGGGGTGACGTGTGAGGGGATCAAATTCTGCTTATGGCTCCAGAAATGTCCCTGCTGTGTTCTGGTGGAACGACAGCTGAGACCAAATCAATGTTGGATGAGATAGTAGGGGAGTTAAGTATGGGAGGATAAGACACCACGAGGCATCACTGCTGCTCATGTTGGTTTCCTTCAGTCCTTATTGAACAGGAGATAAAACCGAAAATGTCATAATTAATTGTTAATGTTTCCAGTGTTTGTGCATCTAATACGAGCCTGACCTCAACCTTTGTTTGGGCACAGATGAGCCAAAGTTCGTAAAGTGAGTTTCCCTTGTGTGAGAACATTTTGTTTCACAATTTATGTGATGAAAAAATAATATAAATCAAGTATTGAGATTTGTTGCAGCATAAATAAAAAAAATAATCATTGAAGCTTCAAGCAGCTGAAATGGGGGTCTAGTCAAAATACATAACCTCAGATATCATAAAAATATACCACAGGATTATACAGAAGTGTGGATCCAAGTGACTTGAACCCATTCAAAATAATTAACTGTTAAACACCTAATTTTTCTTGAAAGTACAGGGAGATAAAATGCTTTTTTCGTAAGCTGGAAATCTGACCTCCCTCCCTCCCTCTTAAAGACACTGGATCAATAAATAAACATCATACAGAGGAGAGCTTTAATGTAAGGACAAGACCCACAGTGTTTAGGAAGATCTAGGGAGATTTCATTCATGTTTCACCTCGACACTGGTGTGATGGCTGATAATTAACTGCTGTTTTATTTTAAACTAAACCTATTTTTATTTTACATCCTAGTATATTTTTAAACCTATACTTCATGATTTAGAGGGTTGATAAGTGCAACTAGACAAACCAAATGCAGGGATTTGGTGGGAGTGAGTTGGGTTGCTTGTGTTTTTGTGCTGCTATTGTGATTTTAAAGTTTAGTACTGTCTTGCTGTGTTGGTAAAAATTAAACGAAAAGGAAGAAATAAATGTTGTAACCCACTTATTAGCCACAGCCTGGAAGAACTGGGGAACACCAACAATCAAGAAAAGAGTGTTACATTAGCCCAAGATCCTCGAAAAATTCCAACAAGATCCAGTGTTCAAGTGATCATTTTAACCCAACCATTAGCATTGCCTTACCCTACCAAGTGCTTTGTATACCTTAACCTAACCAGACAATCACGTTGTCATACCATAAAACATCTAGGATTCCCATCTAGCCATGACAGGTGGTGGTAGACATTTTGTTAAATGTGGACTGAACCAGGTTAATTTCCCTGTTTCCAGTCTGTGTTGATGCTGCCTGTAGCTTTACATTCTCCTTGCACACATGATAGTAACATCAAGCCTCTCATCAAGGAGAACAAAAACCAAAATATCAAACTAGTCCTTTAAGCCCTCCTGTACTCTACTACATTCCTTCCTCTTTGCCACGTCCCTTCTACTGTATGTCATTCACAACCATGCTGCCATAGTTTGGTGTAATATAATCAGAATGTATGTGACAACAAGATCCTTTAACATCTGAAGTTGCACATACGAGCATGAACTCCTGCAGGAGGTCTGGGCAGGTGTGAGAGGCCTGAGGGTCGATGCGGGGGATCAGACTGATTATCAGTCTGTTCCAAATATACCAGAGTGAAGGACAGGACAAGGGCTGAGAGACAAACACAGACTGCCAAGATCAACTGGAGGTGTAAGTGTATCAGACCATAACAGCCTCAGAGTGTTGGCTGGTTCACTTTGTGTCAGGATCACAACAACACGTCCTGGTCCTGGTGTTGGTCATGTCAGGGTCATGGCATAGATCCTGGATCTATAGCCCCTGCAGCCATGCCCAGGCCTCCTACAGAGCGAGCATGGGACCAGCTGTCACTGTGCTGACAGTCTGACTATTATTTAAGATTTAACAGCATCTTACTGTGTTTAGCTTCTTAGTCCAGTCTGACATCACAGCGCCCAGTTATACAGAGGCTGAGTGTTGGTAACAAGCACATCACTTATAGATGAACTCCATTCAAAACTTTATAAAGACCCATTTTTATAAATGCCGTGGTTTGTTTTATCCTGTTTTCTAACCTCTTTGTGAAATTGTTGAATCTAATATAGATTAATTTATCTTATCTTATCTTATCCATGCATTGATGAGTGCACACATTATGTTTGTACTGTATGCTCAAGTTTATTTTGTCATTTCAACCATAAATAAAATATCATTCACTTAGAATCAGGGTATAAAAACCATCAAAACATTAAAACCATACAGAACATGCAGTATATAAAAACAGGATTAGTTTAGTATAAGTTAGTGTTATATTTACCATTAGTATATTGCAATGCAGACAATCTGATTACCTAGTAAAGTGGATTTCTGTCACAACTCGGGTCAACAGTGGGTGCATCCCTTCCCTGTGTGGGGACCCCCACTCTGTTTCATCCATCTGTTTGCTCAGTGATTGAGCTATTAAAGGATTTAGATAAAGCTGATTTACTGTCTTGGTCCTGACTTGAGGGTTGAGCGGTAATTGAAGAAGTAATTCATTTAATTATGTGGGCCAAAAGGTCAGTGAGGAGAGATGAGAAACTCTGCAATAACTGCAAATATCTGAAGAACAACATATCTTAAAAAGGCTGCACAAATATCAGTGATGGTTTCACAATGTCTTATCAATTCTGGGTTCTAGTGTTTATCTAGTGTAGTTGGACAAAAAGTCAACTTGCTGGCTTTATCTAGTCCAACTGAATATCATAGTCTTACATCAAAAAGTTATCTCATAATTAATAAACATATCATAATTTGACTTATTTTATAACGTTGACTTAAAAAGTCAGTAATGTAATTTACAATCTCATAATTGTTTGACTTGTCTCATTATTCACTAAATACACGACATATTGTTATATATTATACTATATTTATATTATATTGTATCATATCATGCCCATACTATACTGTTTTTATATTTGATCCTTTATTCTATTCGCCTCGATATTATATAGCTGTACTATACTGAATATAATGTAATATATAACTACCTTTCACCTTAAATATCTCATACCTCATACTACATGATGATTTGTTTACCATATAATTTGCCATATTATACTGTATCATGTTATTATAATACAGATTTTTGCATCATATTCATTATTTCATTTATAATACGTCTTTATAGTAATACAGACAAACAGACTTTGCTGCTAATAATCACTACTACTATCACTTTACCGAGCTGTTTTTGTCTCCATATGCTCTTGTATAGTTTTCAATTTTATTTTGCTCTCATTTTGGTGTTTTATATACCTGTTATATATATTTATTTTACTTTATCTATTTATCTGTACTTATTGGACTGCTGCAACGACCAAATGTTCCATAATGGGATCAGCAAAGTTTTTTTTTAATCTTACTATGATTTAGAAAGTTCAAAGTTTTTATTTAAAAACAAATGGCTTAACATCTCATAATTTCAATTAACGATGAGTATTTTTTATTTTTTCATTGCTAACGTTTCTTTTTTCCATTTTTCCACACTTTTCTTAAAAAAATAAGCAAAACAATCCATTTCAGATTCAGTATACAGGGGATAGTACACAAATAGAACAAT